GTGTGTGGCAGTGAGCAGAGCCAGAACAGCTGTCAGGAGCACGGTGCCTTTCTCACCACAGCCAGGGCTGCAGACTGGGGCGCTGGCCAGACTGGGGGCTCTGCATGGGTTCTGTCTGACTCACACCTCTGGCCCTGGCCCTGTCCCCATTCTGTCCCTGCAGCTGCATCCTGGCCATGAGTCCCTGGCTGGGCAGGGGCAGGCAGTCCCAGCCTCACACTCCCCTCTCCGCTTAGGGCAGGATGTGGCCAGGCCAGACTGGGCTCTCCACATGGGGCTGCAATGCGGCTGACTTTGACTTAGCCCAGCAGCACACAGCCAGGATGCAGCAGCAGGTGCCGTGAGTCAGAGCAGGGCAGACAGAGCACGTGCAGCACCCCCAGCCTGGCCAGCACCCCAGTCCCCACCCCAGCCCACAGCCCTTGCTCCAATGACAAAAGTGCCATGCTTCCCAGCACATCCCAATAGCTGCTTTGGCTCTGTTTGCTGCAACACACATGTGCTTGGAAGCACACACACATGCACATGCATGCACGCCTGCACACGCACACACAGCCCCAACCCTCCAGCTCCCAGATTCCCACCAATCTGGTACTTTTGCTTAAATTTTCTCCAGTGGCTGGGACACTGAGACAGCCTATAAAATCTGGGACTGTGTAGCAGGGCACTACGGTGCCTGCTACCTGGAGAGCCAGAATAGCTACTCAGGTGCCAGTTACTGGGACGACCAGAGGAAGCCAGTGTCCCACACCTGCTAGTGGTCAGCTGACCGGAAGGGGAGGGCCTGGCTCCCATTTAAACACCAGAACTGAGGCCAGGGAGGCAGTTCCCTCCTGGCTGCCAAAGGGGAAGGAGCTCTCCTAGAACAACCAAAGGGAAGAGGCCTGGCTTCAGGAACAGCTTCTGTCACTATGGAGGGACGGAGTATTTCCCGGTAGGGTGAAGGTTGTTAAAGCCAGGCGGCTCAAGTTTATGGTATAGCCGAGGGGCTCACATTTTGTTTACTGTTTAAGACCAGTGGCTTGGGTGAGGCTATTAGGGGTTGGAGGAGGCCTCATAGGGGACCCACAGCAGTGTGAAGATCCCAACGCCAGCAAGGGCGCAGCATTTGGGGTGCACTGACCCCAGCCCTAGAGAAGGGGGCAGCATTTTGGAGAAGCCCCGGAGAGAGGGCAGCGGGAAGCCCCAGAGAGGGGCGCAGACCCTGGTGCCAGTGAGGCGCGATCTTAAAAGAAGCCGGGGAGCTCAGGTGGGCCTGTGGTGCAGCTTGGTGTTGGTAGTTGGGTTTTTTTTTTTGTGGCCTGGGAGGCTGTGGGCTCAGGGTCATCCTCTGGTTTTGGGCTTGCGACCCTCCAGCTGTGGGGCTGGCACCCGAGCCTCTGGGCCAGGCTCCAGATTGGAGCAGGAAAAGGGGCCATGGGCCTCAAGACAATAGAAAAGGCTAGAGTCTTGGAGTCAAACCCTGTTTAGTGGGTTTAGACGGGGAGACCTAGCTAGAGAAAATCAGGGTTTAGTCTCACATAGGGGAAAGGCCCCAACATACCCAATACAATAGGCAGCCTCCCGCTCACAAGAACATCATCATAATTTCTATCAAGACGTGGCAGGCGAGAATAGGGTGGGACATAAAAACCCTAAAGAAGGATCCAAGGGCGCCCCACGCAAGGCGTGGAGTACTAGGAAGATGGCGCTGGGAAGGGTGACTTGTTACAGACTGTCTCAGCCAATCCAGGATATATGGTCACCCTACGTATAAATAGTCTAGATTATTCTCAAAAATGCCCATATTTTGTTGCTTTGATTAGTTTCCACTCTGGCTGATATCTTTTCCACATTTGATCTGTCGACTTGCATTATGCTTCTTTCATTCATTGAGAAGTGAGTAGAAACAAAAGTGTTTATTTTAGTCAAGTGTTTGGTATTATTTCGTTCTTGCTTTTATATTGTTTTTATTTTGAATTTTAAAACACATTTCCAGATCCATTTCATTGTCACTTCCTGCAACTTCATTGGTGTCAAAGGTCATGTGACATCATTTCCTAATGTGATACCACTTCCTGTGAGGTCTTTGAATATGGCTCGCCAGCCCACTGGGTGATAAAAAGTTCGTGATCCAGCCCCACATTCAAAAAGGTTGGACACCCCTGATATAGACTGTAGTATTAGACATCCTGAGTGCATACGCTCCTTCAGAGCAAATGGCAGAGGTGTTTAGGAGCAAGAGGTCATGAGATCCATGCCTCGTACACATTCTTTCCAAACTGCCAAGGCCAAATGCAATACATAATGCATGACCAAATTCCCAAGGAAAGGATCCAAGAATGATTCATAAAGAAATTAACAATCTGTGGGACTGATTCCCTTTGCATAAAAGACTCTTTCTAAAATAATCTCAGTGCAAATCAAGTTATTTACTATATACATAATTTTCAGTAATAAGAGTAGTAGGACTTCAATCCTATGTGGAAGACAGGAACATCCCTCAAAACAAAAGACACATGACAGGTATGCTCTTGTCCTATATAGTTAGCCCAAGGAGCAGCTTGAAGTAGATATCAACTTTTTTTTTTTTTTTACAAATAGGTGTGAAAATGATTTAATCAGAGATCTCGGCAGACAGAAAAGATGCCAAGAAGCTGGTGCAGACACATTACTATATGAGATTCCAAGCTAGAAGTGAACATGTGTGAAACTACAAACTAGCTAGAGAACATGAGTAGTGAATGAAAGGTGATAACACAGCAATGCATGGATGCTAGGAATGGCAAGGGCCTTTGAAAGCGGGTTGTTTACTAAGAGCCTAGCAGATTGCTGAGAACTTCATAAATCTACTTTTTCAGAGGCAACAAGGACCAGTTTTGAGGGGTGTACGGGAAAATAATCCATGGTGAATACAGATGAACGTGACCTTTTCAAGGGGATCTCTGTCAAGGCAGGTCATCTAGGGAGAATTAGTGATCTACCTGGACAACAAGTTAGTATGAGTCACAGACCATGTGTAGGATATAAAAAACACATCTTAAGACAAGGGCTACTGCAGTGATTCTCAACCAGGGTGCCACAGCACCCTGGGGTGCCTTGAAATCTTTTTAAGGGTGTTGGGGAGTGGCACTCAATGTTAGTACTGTTAAGTGTGGAAATGTGATTCATAAGATAAACCCAAAGATTTTAAATGGGAATCCAGAGGGTTAAAAACATTCTGACCTATTATGGTATTTGAGTTCTTTGCAACAGAAGAATTGTTCTGTTATGTTTCTGTAGTCAAAAATTAAGTGAAAACTAAGAGCTGACATTTTCTGAGGGATGCCCCAAGTCTGAAAAGGTTAAAAGGCTACTGGATCACTAAACCACCTTTTCCCCTGAGAATGGATTAATTTAGATTATGCTGATACAAAAGCAGATGTAGAGATTCCCCAGGATAAATGTGCTTCATATTAGAATTTTACCTGGCTTAGGATGTAAAACATTCTGACGTTCCAGTATCGAGACAGATCTTGGAGAAGAGGTTTCAAGTAGATATTTTCAAAGGTCCTGAAGCAGCCAACCAGGGTGATAAAGGTTTCATCATCTTCGTTTTCGGTTACATACTGGAGGATGGGAAGCATTGGAGCCAGGCCAGTACCAGAGGCAAGCATGAGTAGTTCTCCATACTAGTAATTAACCAAAGGATGGGGAATGAATCAGAGTAACTGAAAATGAATAAGGCCATTACAGTAATCCTTCCTTCTGCAAAGCTGGGATGTCATCCCTTGTAAGAGAGTTCAACACATATGACGAGGCTACTAATTGGTAAAAGAAAGCTTAATACAACCCAAGCTCAACAGGAATACTACTATGACTTGTTAAAGAAGTTCTTCTCAACACCAATTTTGCTTGGGTAGGAATCCACCCCCCTCCTGGTGCCAAAGTTTTAACCACAATTTCCAGTGAAACCATATCGAGCCTCAGTTTCCCTGCACAATTCATGGCTCTGAGGTTTCCTGCTGTAGGGTGGGATATGAACCAAGGGTGCAAGAAGGAATGGTTTCCTTCCTATTGTGTCCTACCCCCTGGACCACTCTGTCTCCTTTCTTCATAACTAGGGATTTTATATTGGACTGGATGAACTGACTGGTCAGACTGGACACAAAGTCTACATAGCCAAATATAATCATGTATGAAGGACTTGGAGCTAAAGGACTCACTCATATTCAAGAGCTGGGTTAAGGACATCTGCAGTTTCAACTCAACAGCAAAGCTGTTGAGGAAAGCTGTTTCCTTTGTACAGAAAAGCAGTACAAAGGAAAGCTCAATGCTCCATTAGATGTGGAATGGCTTTGCCAGTCCAAGTGCTACTGAGGGCAGGGGAAGCTGAATCTGATCTACTATGGACCAACCAGTCTCAAGTCCTATGAAAGATTCAGCTTCCCTTTGCATAGGGCATTAATTTACTCAGATATGTCTACACAGTGCAAGCCAGAGGCCATGATCCTAGGTGTAGTGCACTACCACGGCTACACTGCTGATGCTTCCAAAGCCAGTGTGTGCACGGCTAGCTGGGACATCTCTGCTTTGTCCCATGTAGACACACCCTCACAACCCTAACTCTTTGGGCTCACAGTTCCTGGGAGCCAAGGGTGCTCAGCACCTCTCAGTCTTTGGGCTTACACTTGCCTCCATTTGTGGTTGATCCTTTGGTGAACAGTTTGCGAAACCTATTGTAACCAGCTAATTAAAGGTTGAACAGCCTGGCTGCAGGGAATGGGGGTGGTGTCCAGGGACTGCTACTTGATGTGCTGCAACTTTCCGATTCATTGTCAGTCAATGGCTCTGAATTATTTCAATTTTTGAGCGGGGTCCCAGTTTAAAATTAGATCAATCGCGATATATTTTGGGAATTAACTGCTTTAAAAAACAAAATGAAAGAAAATGTTGTAGTCAGAACTCATACCCCAGGCATCAGCTTGCAGCTATTGCTATTCATAAAGATGGCATTGTTTGTACTTCAATGGTGGCCTTAGGCCATGTACTGAGGTGCTTTACCAACTGAACATGCAGGGATCAAAGTCATAGCGAAGTTGGGCTGGCAGGGACCTTAGGAGGTCATATCTAGGCCAACCCCCTGCTCAAGGTAGAATCATCCCTGTCTAAACCAATACACACAATACCCATTTAGCCTGTTCTTAAAGACTGCTTACCCATTTCAAGAGTGTGGCCATCTCCATGGATGAGCATGGCAATTATTCTGTACCACAAACCTGAGCCAAGAGCAGGGGAAGTGAAGAATAACTTTTCCACTAGATGCAGTGGGGTGGATGGAGGAACATCAGTAGGCAGAATGCAATTGCTCTCTCTGGAAGCTGGCTCAGACACTGGAGTTTGCACACCCCTAGTTCTGATAAAAGTGCTGGGGTGTCTAATGAGCACAGCGTCTCAGTTATACATCCCAGCCAAAAGTTTCTTCAACACCAGAAACACTTAAAAGGAAACCGACATGCAGAAACCCTTGCTAGCACTTTATAATCTTGTCCCACCTCTTCCTTTCCTCTTAAATAGTTTGCATTCTAACAGGGTCCATTTCCTCTAATCAACTGCAAACGCTGCAGCCTTGTACAGTAAACCTGGAAGTCCCTAAAATAATAATCCAAATAGTAATCTAATCAACAACATCCCTTTGGAATATTAAACAAAGTGAGCTGCCATGTGCTGAAACACTCAGTATCTATTACAGCACTAACCTGATTAGGTCTATATGGGAAGCCTCCAAACGGCCCTCGCCAAAAGATTGTCTCTCCTTTTTTCCAGGATTTTATGTATTGTGACATGAGTCCACTTGCATAGCACTATTAAAAAATACACACACACAAAAGAAAACAATCATTATATTTTGCTAGGAAGTTTCCCAGCTTAAAGGCAATTATAAAGTTATCTCCATTTAAACAAAAAGAGGGGGAGGGGGAATATTTCACAGCTTTAAAAAATGATCGCTCTATTTACAAAATAATACAAAGAAACCCAAATCAAACGATACTTAAAATAAGTGATGCTGGTTTCAATCTAGCCTGAATATAATGTAAAAACTACCCAAAATGCTGAAGCAGGGGAAAAGGCAGAGCTCTCACCTACAAAGCACACGGAGGAACTCCTTGGTGCACAAAAGCCAGCCTCAGCCCTCTGTTCTCCAGAGCTGATGATATGGTTGTGTACAACTGCTCTGAAGAAGCTGGGAGCTGGAAGGGCATTCTGGGTATTGATATTTAAATAAATGCCACTTGATTTTCACTTCATTTCAGAGCTACCAGGCCCTGCAATGGTACATTATGTAACAATGGAATGAAATTTAGGTTTCCCTATTTATAACATTGAGCTACATTTTCACTACAGATCATCTAAACAGTAAGAGATGCTCCAAGATTTTACAGAAAGGTTAATATCTAAGCTTCACTAAAAAAAATAAATAGTAAAAACACTCTCTCTAAACAGGTGTAAAACCCTCTGTGTAATACTGTTAGAGATTTCTGCATGCAGGAACGCTAGCTTCGTGTGTGACTGGAGGGGAAGAGGCAGCACAGAGAAGGATGCAAAGAGAAAGCCATGGGGTCATCCAAACAGACCTGTTTCCATCTGTGGTTGCATCCAATATATCAGAGATATTTTATATTCAGTGGGCCTTGTGCAGTCATTTAACACCCTTGCAGAGTGGCTGTGACAGTGTTTTATATGCATCTTCCACAACTACAAATGGCAGCTCAAGACAGAAAGGATGGGGGATAGGGGTGGGTAATCAGCCCCATTTATGCCATATCTCCTACAGTGTGGGGAAACAGCATTTGGGCCCACGTGTTCCCCACTGTCTTAAATCTTCCTTTAAAACCTAAAGGAGAAAGACCAAGCTGGTCTAAAGGTTGCAGGGTTGTTGGGGGGGTTTTTTTGGTAAATAAAAAGGAAGGGAAAAAAAATATCTCCTGGGGTGAAGGCTTGTACACCCAGGTTTTCACTTAAAAAACCCCCCACAGCATTAGAAAAATCACTCACAAGGAGGGTTACACATGGTAAATGGCAACTCGCTCACACTTAACTGTAGTATCACAAATGTAATGCTATAATAACAGGAGATGGAGGGGTTTGAACAGTGCTTGGATTGCACAGTAATAATAATAATACAGTACTTCCCAAAATTGCCTGAATAGTGTGAAATATACTACAACCTCCAGAGAAGTTATAAAAATGGGTGCCTTACAACGGGTGTTACATCTCTTTTGTTACTGCCAGAGAATAACTATAGTTCCCTTTGGGATGAAAGGTTCGACATAAAGGAAAGGTATTATTACAATCATTACTATTATTATTGAAATGCAAAACCTGTGTGTAATAAGCAAGTATACATGAAATCTCACAGTCAACCTATGAAAGTATCCTATTAATGTAGCTCCAATGTAACATTTCTTTCTCCCCATCCCAGTTGCCACAATAATGGTGAAATGACCTACCCACAAGCGTCTCAGAAAAAAATATACATGTCTAAATGAGTGTGATTCCTGTTCTGTCATACACTGAGTGATACACCCTTAAATGTGTAAAGATGGGCAGAGGGTCAAGTGATCGTTCTCTGATCGGCTTGGGAGATGTGGCACTTAGAAAGGAGCCTACAGATCGCCGAGGATTTACAGAAAGGCACGTGCAGATCAGAAAGACTGTGCTTGCTGGCTTTGATAGCTTACACCCAAAATAATTATTTATGCTAGTCCTGCTCCTACGATCCCAACTCACGCAAAACTTCAGCAGGCTCAGGACAGGTTGCGATGTTAGTTTTAAAATATGAAGACCACGAAAAAGTCAAACACAAAACTCATTCTCATTTCGATTGTGCTGGCCCGGATCTCAGTTTGTATGGATTATTTAATAGGGATTATGCTGTAGCTAATTTATTTACCTGTCACCTCTTGTGTCTATTGTGGGGGGGGGGGGGGGGAGTAAAAATTATCTCAGTTTTACCAGAAAAAAATGCAACTTCCCCCAAATTCCTACAGGAATAGCTCATGAAACATTACAATGATAACGTTGTGCTAAGTGAATGCTCTGGGACATAATAGTAAGTGTGAATGATAATACGTGCTAAGTGTGGAAGGTGTGTTCAGTCCTCTGCATGACTTAAAAGAAACCACAGTCCCAATATATTTACAATCTGAATAATACAGACCACTTACTTTTATTAAAACGTCAAAGTACCCTTCTGCATTCACAGGGCTAATTGGAGTATAAGCTCTCTGAACTTCCAAGCCATTCACCTCCCCTCTAAGGAGTAAAAAGAGGAAACCACCGTTATCTGATTTACTAGCCGACATCACCAACGATACTGCTCTTTGGAGAGACCAGCCTGAAAAACCACAGCAGTAGTCTTTCCCAAATTGTCATCCTTTGCCAAAACAGAATAAATATTTCCCCTAATGTAGCTAAAGATCCAGTGACATCCTCCACTCTGAGGTTTCTGTGCAACGCTGCCACAGATTCCTTAGGTTTGCAAGGCGATGGCTATGCCACTCGATCAGCTGCCCCAGACAAATGGGGAAAAAGACAGAACCAGGTGTTCAGTGGGGAACAGCTGAGTGTAGTGCAGTGAAGGGAACAAGAATTGCTTTATTGGTAAATATGCTACATTGCTCTGGAGCAGAGGCTAGCTTTTATTCTACGCATGCAGCAAATAAATAATAGTAAGGATGAGGATGATGATAACAGATACAGATATTACCATTATTGCTTGAAATCAGGCCTCTGACAGGCTTTACCACCAGTTGCTAAAACAGACACAAGTCTTTCCATATGACCCCTTCCTGGTAAATGCTATCCCATGGTAGTGAATTATTTGCTGGCCCTCAGTCTTAAAACACGTGGATTTTGAACCCATTGCTATGTGTTTTGACACCCCAAGTGACAAGGCCTGAAATGATGAACTTTCTAATTGGCAGAGATCGTTGCCCTCATCCCACCATGTTGTTATAAATCATCTGTTGTAACAACTACTTTTCTCTCCTTTTCATCCTGTAAATGGTTTTTCTTAACCACACTTAGTTCTCTTCTCTCCCACCAACACAAAGCTAATATTGAAAGAAAAATACAGTCCTGGAGTGGCTTTCACCATAAAATTAGCAGAGCTAACAAGCTCACGAGTTCTTTCAGCTGTATCATTTTGGTAGTATAGAAATTATGATTTACGTAGTATTAAATCTTTGCAAATTGAAAACAAACTGCATATTAAGTCGCATAAAAGAGCCTGTTTAACTAGAGACTAGAACAGTACCTTAACACAACGTGTTGTCCTAAACTCAATCCCAGGCTGCTATTTTCTGGTAATTCAAATCTATACAGGTAGGTGTCCTGTGTTAGCTGTTCCACAGAGTTTATGCTGAATGCAGTAAATGTATCTGGATTTAGCTCTGAATTACAACTCTGGAAGCACAACAATAAATAATCACTAGGTTAGATGGTGTCCTTTATTATTTTATTTCTCTTTTAAAACAAACGTGTACGCAAATCTAGTGCTGGTAAAGCTTGAGGGCTCAGAAAAATGCATCTTGAGAACTCTGGGGGCTAGCCTATATTTTAGGCATCTCTCTGCTGCTTTGTTTTTTCAGGGCTTTCCACAGAATCCAAGATAGATATAAAAATTAAGTTTTTGGACCTTAAAGTTGAATCAGCTAAACATGACTCAATGTAATGCTCTCTTCTGGAGGCTGGAGAGAGAAAGTTCAACAGAAATAATAGCTGTAAAAAAGCTTAACTACCCAGTAGGTACTTAATTCTGAAACCCTGTAATGGCCATTCGAAATAGCAACAGCATCCTTAATTATTTCTCTGCTGATTATTTTCGTAGAAACTTCTAGCTTTACCCCGTAACGGTTGGATTTGTTTGAAAGGGTATTTGAGAGGCATACAATTACATGTTTTAAAGAGGAAAACAATGGAGCGTTCTACCAAACATGAGATTTTATTTTTTTAGTCTCCGCATAGGCCTCCCAGAAAGATGGAAAAAGAAGAGCGTTCAGGGAAATGTAAGCTCTCTGAGGGGCTGCAGCAGAGGAAAAGCTGACTTGCTAATCGCCTCGCCTCATCTTTCACGGGCAGTTTTGTTCTCTCATCCCATGGATCTCTACCTTGATGTTATGCAAGCTTGCTGTAGCAGCGGCAGAGGCAATGTTGTAACAGGGTAGAGGGCAAAACCAAGAGCACTTGGGATACTCTATTGTGGCCATTTTTCTGCGGGAGGAGAAGTTGTAGTGGAATTAAGTATTTTTCTCAAAAGACCATTATAATTCCCTCCACTACGCTCTCTGTATCACATGCAGACAAACATAAGGATGATGCAAGCCCTGTTTGGGTTGCTACGGAGAAGTTGCTACCTGCTCCTTCTGTTTGCTCAGGAGGCTTTTGTCCTTCTTGGCTCTGGCCTTTTCCCATTGTGCTAGCTCCTTCTGATACAAATCGGAGATGCAGGGTTTGCAGCCACTGCCACAGCACTGAGACGGCAGCGGTTCGCTGGGTTTGAGAGCGAGCCAGTCATCCTCGCTTTCGCTCATTTACCTACCAAAACACAAGCTGAGCATCAGGGTTTGCATTTAAAGGAAGAGGACTGCGGGGTGCTTGACAGAGACACCTCTCTGAGAGGTAGCTCAAGGGGCATCCAAAAACTGCCTGCCTGAAGATATGCAGCCAACGCCGACTGATATATAGGAAAGGCTATCAGACCCCCTCAATGGAAGCATTTGCTCTCAGGCAAAACTTCATCTTGGCCCCTCTGAGTCTCCCTTACGAGGAGAGGCTAGGGCACCTGGACCTCTTCAGCCTCCGCAAGAGAAGGTTGAGAGGCGACCTTGTGGCTGCCGATAAATTCATCGTGGGGGCGCAGAAGGGAATTGGTGAGGCTCTTCTTGCCAAGGCACCCCTGGGGGTCACAAGAAATAATGGCCACAAGCTAGCAGAGAGCAGATTTAGATTGGACATTAGGAAGAACTTCTTCACAGTTCGAGTGGCCAAGGTCTGGAACGGGCTCCCGAGGGAGGTGGTGCTCTCCCCTACCCTGCGGGTCTTCAAGAGGAGGTTAGATAAGCATCTAGCTGGGGTCATCTGAACCCAGCACACTTTCCTGCCTAGGCAGGGGGTCAGACTTGATGATCTATTGAGGTCCCTTCCAACCCTAGCATGTATGAATCTATGAGTCAGCGACCAGTTTATGCCCAGCAGCATGTGTGTCCATCTCCCCTATAAATTCTTTATCCCATCTAACCCAATTGAGGATTTTCTCATTATTTAGGTAAACACCTAATTCACTTTTGAATACTAAATCCTTGGCCTCAAAGGCTGCAAAAGGAGCATCACATCTTGGGACCTATCTCCGTGGACCATGTGCCTGCATCAAAGACAAAGGTGACAACACATTGTAATCAGGTGGGGGGAGGAGAGGGATGGGTGGTCATGCCTGTATCGTTCCTCGTGCTAGACATCTCTTCTAAGAGATCTGTATTAGACAACGTATAAACTACATATACGCTAAGATCTAAAATGTGGCAGGAAACAGATCCCACTTTCAAGAGAGGATCTGTGGAAGTCTCTGAGTATGCAGAAGCAATCAGAAGTAGAAAGGGTGGGCAGCGTGGGAAACTCAAGAAGTCAGAAGCAGGATTTAGGGAAGTCACAGGCAAATGAATGCTCAGTTTGGTGAGTGGGAGAACTGAAAGATCAAGCTAATATGCCAGGAGCATTTGGAGGATTGCGTGTTACTCTCCTTCTAGATATTCTTCTAACAGACGGCGTTCTGGGTCATATTCCTTTGACAAAAGGCAAAATACTAACTCTCTGGGACATAATAATTATTTTATGCAATGCTCAGCTGGATATAATTCCCAATGCCTTTACTGCCATATCATTTAAACAAAAGGAAGTCATAAGGAAATTATAAAACCACAGGTGACAAGGCTGAAGAAAAGAACACTTAGCACTTACATAGCAGTTTCATTTCCAAGGTGCTTTATAAGCATTAATTAATCTTCACCCCTTTGACAAAAGTATTAGTATTCTAATTTTAAACACATGGAGAAACAGAAGCCAAAAGACCAATGAAAACATTTTTTAAAGTAGCCACTGAAGGTAGGTCTCTTGCCTGGCGTTCTGAGGAGCTGAGCACCAAGAGCTCCTAGCTAGCTGCGGCAGTGAGAGTGGCTAGTGCTCAGCGTGCCTGGAAGTTCAGGCCTCTTGTGTGATTGCTAGCTGGACTCTCAGAATAAGACAGCATTGTTGGAAATGCTGGCCTTCGAACTAACCAAGCCTAAAGAGTGGGTCAGCTATTAGCAAAGGGAATAGGTTCTTAGAAGTGCCAGTTGCCAGCATCACAATTAAACCACACAAACTCCCAGCTCAGAAATATCGTGAAGTTACATGTCACTCAGACAATACAGGCAGTCCTCGAACTTACGACACAACTGGTTCCTGAAAACCACGTCTTAAGTCAAAACGTTGTAACTCGGAACCAATTTTCTCATAAGAAACAATGTTATAAACAAGGGGTTGGTTCCTGAACTAAGGCCGGATACCCTATTTTCACCAAAAATACCCCAGAATTTTGTACTCGATCAATTATCGATCAGCAATATAGCTACATTACTGTATTTATATTGTAAATAGAAATCATATTGATTTGGAAGGACTTCTTTGAGGTGACTTTGCTGGACTTCTTGAAGGGCTCTTGGTTGGACTTTTGGAAGGGTTCTTGGCTGGAGTCTTGGCTACAGGTTCTTCTGGAGTCTCTTTGCTTTCGTAAAGAAAGTGTCCAAGGAAGTTTGGACAGACGTTCTCCAGGGAGATGAGCGACGCAGCCAACTTGTTCCCTGGTGTGGCGTCACGTCAGATCAAGCGTTGTAAAGTCGAAACTGGCGTCATAAAGTTGAAACAGGGTGTCAATTTAGAAATGTTGTAAGTGCGAAACATTGTAACTCGAAACGTTGTAAATTGAGGACTGCCTGTACTAAATCTGAGGAATGTTAGACTGCATTAAAGTCAGAAGATGCTGTGAGCAATTGCACATTAAAGGTGAATACCATTTCTTGCCCACACAGCTCTGCCTAGCAGGCTGGAGAGCGTGTGTGTGGCTGGCAGCCAGAACACCTGGACTCTATCCCTGGTTAGGGAGAGATTGCTAGGAAGGGTGCATCCTGGGATGCTAGAGGACTGCAAATTGCTCATTTTGTCTTTGTGGAACAGACTGAAGTTACCCAAATATAAGCTGGGTAGCACAGCCGAGTTAACCCTTGCCTGAAGTGGCACAACTTTGAGATGCAGAGAGGGCACTTAGTATGAGTTAACAAGTTGTAACTTTCAGATGTTTGCGGTTTGAGTGCCCTTAGTATTTTTTTTTAATTTGTATCTGCAGCCAAATTAGCCAAAACGAATTCCAAATCCAAGTGTCCAGAGCCATAAGTGGCCCTACTACCGGCAAACATCCTCCACCTGCACCTGGGTCTTCAGATGTTTCCAAAACCTTTGGTGGGCTTCCTACTATGGTCTAAGTGTAAGGTGTAATAACGTCATCCTTACTTTTTCATCCAAAGACCGTAAAATCCTTGTGATAGGTACTATGATCTTGGCTTTCCACTTAGAATGAGCTAATAACATCTGGGAGAGCAAAGTATACCCCCAAAGTGAGGTTACAGTCTCAGTAAAGAAACAAAGGAGGTCTGTGAGATACTAGAAGTGTGTTGCTTAAGCCTGTCGTGTTGCCCCACGATGCTGGTGAGGTTTCTTAATGATAAATCCACTCTCTTTCAGTTGCTTGGCCCAACCTCCCGACTCAAAGCAACGGGCAAAGGTTGGAGTGGGAACCAGCAGCCTGTTCAGAGTGGCTGGGCTTGCTCAGGAGATGCTGCCTCCATGAGGTGCTGCAACATCAACCTTTTCAACTCTGTTTCAGGTGGTGGTGAGTTTTTAGTTACTTGCTTGCAGGTGGGGAAAACCTCCACTCACCTAGAGAGCGTGTTTCCAATTCCCAAGACTGATCAGAAAGGCTCAAAATGGGGAGTCTGACTAGGGAAGTAGGTCCCTGTAGGCTTTGCTTCCCCCAGGAATTGGGGGATCTCAGTCAGGGCAGACGCCGACCACCCCTGGACAGGCGCAGCAGCCTCCTTGCCCTGGCAGGTGTTTCGGCTCGGCCGGGGGCTCCTTCAGCCTGGCCCATGCCACCGAGCCCTGGCCAAGGCCCAAAGGAAAACAGAACAGAGAACATCATCGCGCTGCTCTACAGGTCCACGGGGCGCCCGCCTCTTGAATCCCGTGGGCAGCGTGACTCCTCGCGTCTCAGAGAGGGCGTAGTCGAACGAGGAAAGGCAGAGAGAGGAGCACAACCAAGATGATCAAGGCCTGGAGCAGCTGCCAGACCAGCAGAGACTAAAGGCCGCTCCATCAGTACAGGTAGCAGAGGAGAAGACCGAGGGGGGATAGGGTGGAGGTCCAGACCATCACGGGGGCGTGGAGCGAGCAAACTTGCTGTTCACCGGGTTGAAAACTAGCAAGAGAAAGGACCTTTTTTTTGACGCCGGGTGCCGTTATCGTGCGGGATTTACAGCCGCAGGAGGTGACGGGGCCGAGGGCGCCGCCGGGGCCTGGGAAATGTCCGCTCCTGGCTGCGGGAGGGACATCTCCTCTGGCATCTCCGACTCCACATGTGGCGGGTGCCGAACAGGGGAAGGGTCGCTAGGGGCAGCCGGCCCGTGGGACCCCCTGCGGGGTAAGAGATTTGGGTGCGGGGGAGTGATGGTCATTCATATGGCCGCCCCCTCCCCCGCTGCCCTGCACTCCACGGGGTCGGGGTTGGGGACGGCCAGGTTAGGCTTGGGCAGGAACCACTGCTGAGGTGTCCCTTAGAGACTGACTGGTCCAGAGGTGGGGACCCCCCTCCCAGGGCAGCCCTAGCCCTGGCTGAGTGGAGCAGGCCCAGGTCTGGCCAGGAAGGGCCACGTGGGGCCACCCACTCTTCCCCCCATTGCCCCGCCCACAACAGGGAAGAGCCCCGCCCCCTCAGGCGCCAGAGGGCGAAGGGGGTCTTTCCAAACTCCCCACCCTACCCCACCACCTCACGCGCAGGCGCAGTCCGACCTGCCAATGGCTGGTCTGGCCGCGCCGCGCCCCCCCCGCG